CCCCGGCCCCGCCTGCCGGCGCTCAGAGCGACATCCCCTGCGTCACGGACCACGTCAGCAAGCTGGTGCACATAGGGAAGGCAACAGTGGAGAAGCTCATGGACCTCACGAGGGTGCGCACAGGGGCCTCAACCCTCCTCGAAGGCCGCCGGCGCGGCCCCAGGAGGCTCGCGACCCAGGGTCCTCACAAGAGGGGCAGGATCGCATTAAGCGCGCTTTAGCACACATCCACATCATGGTTTGTTGGGGACGTTGGGTGTGACGCGCTGGGAGGCAGTATGAAGCGGGGAGAGGTAGAATGAGGAACGACGGCTCCTCATTCTACCTTTGAGTGCCGCAGTAGGGAGGAGCGGCAAGCAGGGGTTTCACGCCCCCGCAACGGCGCAGCCCAACCCCCCTCCGCTTGCGCACGCATGACAGCCGTGGGGCGACAGCGCGCCTGTGACTGCCCCAAGCCCCTGATCAGGGCAGTGTCACGCACACCTTGCTGGCTGCCTGTGGCCCGCCCACCAGCCCATGCGACTCGTGTTTTCGCTGGCATCCCGCATTAACCCCGCAACGACAAACCCCCCGGCCGTTATTCCGCCGGCGTCCGCCGGCTTGCCGCAGGCCGCGGACGAGGAGAATATGGACTTTCGGCTCCCAGAGGGCGTCGCGTGCCCAATAGAGACCATAGGCCAGTTCCAGCGGCTGGTGGACGCCGCGGGAGAGAGCACTGAGCTGCGCAACAAGGTGTGCTGTCGGTGGGGCGGGGCACAGGGCAGTGATTAGGAGCTTTGAGTGGGGGCTTGGTGTGGCGGTGTGTATGTATGTGTGTGTGTGTGTGTGTGTGTGTGTGTGTGTGTGCGCGCACGCGCGCTTGATAAGGGTGCGCGCACGTCCGGGGCACGCAGTCCGCCCAAGCTTGCGGGCCGCCAGCTGTATGTAGGTCTTCGGACCAAGTTTCCCAGGTGATTCCGTGTGTCTTCTGGGGGAGGGGTCGGTCGTATCAAGCAGCCGCAGGCCCTTGGCCCCTGCCCCAGGATAGACCAGCAGCAGGAAATTAATCCTGCACTACCACCAGCACACACTCACACACCCCGCCCTGGCCCTCACCAGGTCCGCCACCTGCTCAAGCTTTCCCCAGACAAATGGGACGCGGTGTGCGACCACGCGCTCGGCGCCGTCGCGCCGGACTTCCGCCCGCGCGTCTGGTGGCCGCCCGGCCCCGCCGCCGCCGGCGGCCTGCTGTTTGCCGCCCGCCGCGGCGCTCTCATCACCGACCAGCCGATCGCGTTTGTCGCCCGTGGCGGCGGCGGCGGCGACGTGGTCAAGCGGCTCGGCCACCTCGCGCCTGATGAACTCGAGCTCATGCCTGAGCTGCGGCAGCAGGCGCTGAGGGCGTGGCGCGAGCCGGGCCACCCCGGCTGGGCGGTGTACTGGCGGGACGCGGCGGACCCCCTGGGCCTGCAGATGGAGGGATTGAACAGCAGCGGCGCCCCGCTGCCGCTCGCGTCGCTTGGGGCGCCGCCGCCGGGCGCGGCGGGGGGAACGCCCAGGGCCGCCGCGGCCGCGGCAGCTGCCGCCGCCGCCGCCGCTGCAGCGGTGGGCACGCCCCGCACGCTGCGCGCGGCGGGGGCGGCGGCGGCGGCGGCGGTTGCGGCGGCAGCGGCGGCGGCCGGTGCGATCGGGACACCCAAGTATGTCGAGCGGCCCAAGAGCGCGAGCAAGCGCCAGCGGCACAGCAGCGAGTCCAGCGGGCACGCCCCCGTGGCGCAGCACCGGCTGGCGAGCCCGCCCATGTCGCCCGCAGAGGCCACCAGGGCCGTCCAGGCCCTCCTCAAGGGGCCGGGGTCGCCCTCGGTTGCCGTGCTGATGCAGCAGCAGCAGCAGCAGCAGCAGCAGCAGCAGCAGCAGCAGCAGGAGCAGGAGGAGCAGCAGCTGATGTTTGCCGATGGCGCGTTTGCCATGCAGCAGCAGCATGCTGCGCTGGCGGCAGGCATGCTGGGGGCCATTCCAGGCTGTCCCCAGCTGCTGCCTGCCAGCGAGTTCTGCCTGAATCTCATGCCTGGGCCCCTCGGCAGCCCCGGCGGTTGGGCGCTGCCAGCGGTCGCCACGGGCTCGCCGCTTGCTGGCGGCGTCGCCGCGTTGCCCGGCGGCGCGGCGTCGCCGTTCGCGTCGGACGCGGTGCAGCTCGGCCCCTTCCCCATGGGTGCGTTCTCCGGGTGGGGCCCGGCCGCGCCGCCGCCGCTGCCGCTGCCCCGCCTGCCGCCAGCCACGCCCGCGCAGCAGTGGGCCGTCGACGGGTACCAGCAGCAGCAGCAGCAGCAGCAGCAGCAGCAGCAGCAGCAGCCGGCGGCCAGGCAGGGTGCTGGCAAGGACCTTTTCATGACGCCGTTCGAGGCACTGGAGGCCGGGCGGCTGCCGCCCCTCTTCTCAGGCCTGGATGAGCTGCCCTTCTTCAATGCGTTCGAGCCGCCGCGCGGCGGCCCCGCCGGCGGGCAGCTGCCAGGCGGCTTTGGCAGCGCCGCCAATGGCTTTGTCGGGGGGGCGGGGGGCGCCATGGGCGAGCAGGAGCAGGAGCAGGAGCAGCAGGAGCTGTTGATTGGGGCAGGCGGCGGCCCCTTGGGCGCTGACGGGTGCACACGCGTGCTCAGCCTCAGGTTGGGGGCCAGCTTGGGCCTGGGAGAGTATGCGCCCACGTACTACAACAAAAAATGACCCCCGAGCAGCGGCGGTCGCGCACGTCGTGCAGGATGACAGACCGCCCAGGAATTACGAGACAACGGCAGGGATGTCTCCCAGCGCGCAGACACATGCGCGCATCCATGCCTTGCACGAACGACTTGGCTGCGAAGCCATTGTGTGGGCCCTGCGCTTGTGCCGCGCCATGACCTGCTGCCTACGTGCTCTGGCTCTGACTCCTCACCTTTTCAGCAATTTAGGAATTCTTTCTGGAGCCTGCAACTCATGTGACACGCGCAGCGCCCTGCATTTTCCAGGCATCTGTTTCATTTGCGCAGCTGGTGCACCCAGGTCACCACACCCTTTGCCGGGGCAGCCTTTTTGGGCTGTAAAAGGCCCATTGACCAACGTTTGACTTTTTGCAGAGGATGCAGCTCTCCCTCGTTTGCAGCAGCAATGCTGCCACAGGCAAAACCACGCGACCGCCACCGTCACGCAAAGAACGCTTCTGCCATTGTCACCAAATGGCTAGTGCTGGGCTCCTGGAAACTCCTGGCATGTCCTGTACCTTTCTCGCACGAACAACCTCGCTCGCTTCCGTCTGCTCGCCTGCACCTGCCTGCATGCTTGTCCGCTTAAAACCCTGTTTGCCCCAGCCCATCCAACAACTCAAGCCATGCACCTGTATGCACCTTCCAAGCAGCGAGTCTGCCGGTCGCCCTTTTGACGAACATTTCATCCTTCTTACCCAGCCAGCTCTGTGCATCGATGCTGCCCGACTCTGTAACTCATGGATTTCCCCCGTGTGCGGAGCGCGCCTACCCAGCTGCGTTTGTGAGTGTTGCAAATGCGATGAGGAGGTGCAAACATGAGTAGCAGTCATGCGATCCACCTTCTTAACAGCATCCGTATGGCAGGCGGAGCCGCGGCATGCATGCCCCCCAGCTGACTGCGCCGCCCAGGCTATTTGCAGCGCTTGAGGCTCGTTTCTGGGCATGTGTGCCTGGAGCCCCCCAGAAATGCACGCTTGAAGTCAACAGGCAGCTGCTTGTTCGGCGCTCGCATCAGATGAATCACGTGACAGTTGACACTGCGCATGCGGTGTGACGGAAAGTTTGGTCAACACTGTCGTAAGCGGTAGATCCCCCAACAACAGCGGTACCTGGGTGCTGCCCGCGTGACTTCGCTCATGGCAGCAGCCGCTCTTGTGCACCATCGAACTCAGGCCCAAAGCTGAGCGAGCTCTGCCCCCAACTCAGGCATGCTTCTGGGTGCTTCACGCAGGTGCATCAGTTCATTGACCTCCGCCCGGCGTCACCTGCCCGGCACCCGCTGTACACACCCGGCCAAATACCACAGTCGCGCGCATATGATATCAGTGACCACGAATAATTCGACTTATGCACACCAAACATAGCATACATGAACGATCCGCAGTGAATGAGTGAAGTGCTCTCAGATCGTTTCTGGGAAATCGTCGTATCTAGTTCCGCAGCAGCCTCGGTGATTTATGTCACTCTATCGTGCAATCTGAATGTTAGTAGCTCATGAAAGCACCCTGCTGAGCGCGGTCGCCCCTTGCAGCGCTTCCCGCCGCCTCCGCTCCCCCCAGCACACTGACTGGATGACGGCGACCCTGATCCGCACAGAGCAACTCAGCCTGCACGCCCAGGCAGCCCACAACTAGATACTAGATGCGACGGTCAAGAAAAAGCTCCGCCGGCAGAGCCGCGCTGCTGGTGGCAGTGCCCTCCGCCGCTGCTCTGTGGTGGTTCTCAGCAATGCTGGCTGCGGCGCCGCGGCTCATCCGGCGGCTGGCGGGTGCGCCACGCCTGCATGGGTGACTGTCAATCATGTGTGCCGTCCATGCCACGTCAGCACGCTGCGTCAGCAGCGGTTTTGGGGCGGCCACTTGCAACTGGCGCGGCTCCAGGAACAACCAAGAAGTTGCAAGGCCCAAGGGACGAGGCACTGTTTCCCTTGCCGCGCGCCACCATCGCCGCGGCACCCAGTGCACTTGCAACCCAACCGCGATCCCAGGGCGCGCCGATGGACGGTCCGTGGCGTGCAAAGGGGGCAAGGCGGAGGTGCACATATACCCTGCAGACCAGTACAAGCCCAGCAATCCATGGTAAAGACGCTGCTCTGATTTTTTTGAGGGGGCACGTTTTGCTGCCACCCCTCCATGCAAACCAACCGCTGGGTCGGCCCAGCACGACTGTTGGGAATAGCCGCTCTTTGGCAGGTAGCTGCCCCGGGCACCGAGCTCGTGCGCCGTGCCATGACGGGGCATGCACAAAAGTCGCAGGGGGGGCTTTGCGGGCTGCCTCGCTCAAAGACACGGATATTTTATCACGTGATTATCACGTGGCAGGCCCCCGGCTCACCCGCAGCACCCGGCCGATCTCAACAAACACACTAGGTGGGCCAAGCGCATCGCCGAGACAGAACCGTCGGAGTTGACAGAGGCGCCTGAGCCGCCCCAGCTGGCCGCCTTCAGGGCCGCCACCGCCGGCGGCGCCGCGTGCGCCCCCGGCAGCGCGGGGGCCGCCGAGCTCTTCACCCTGGACCCCGGATGGGCCTACCTGAACCACGGCTCCTATGGGGCCACCTTCAAGTGAGTCGCTGCATCCCAACAGTTTTCAGGGGTTGAGGGTTCAACTTCGGGCTCAAGGGTCTTGTTCTGCTGGTGCTTTCCGCGAACGCTCAGCAGCAATCGTGATTGTGAAAATTCAGGGAGCCACCACGCACGCCAAGCTGGCAGCCGAGCGCGCTGCAGAAATATCAACACAAGTTATGCATAGGCGCGTGCGAGGGCGCTCTCAAAGCGCACCTGCTGCACCCCTGTCAAGCTTTCAGTGAGGCCGCCGCCCCGACAGCTGCAAGCCTGGCTCGTGCCGCGCCGCCCCTGCAGGCTTGCCATGGAGGCCCAGGGCTGGTACCGCGACAGGATGGAGGAGCAGCCCGTTATGTTTATGGAGGGCACAGCCCTGGATGGTGCGGGGGCGGTTCGCAGGGCGGCTTCCCTTGACCTGCAATTATGCCTGCAAAGACCCAGGTCGGATGGAGCATGTAGACTGTTTGAGCGGAATTGAGCTGCCTTGCGTTGTTGGGAGCAGCACGACGACAGCGCAGCACTGCGCAGCGCAGCTCATGGCGCGTTGCCTTGAGGTGCCTTCGACTTCACGGGACAGCAGCGCGAGCCAGGGCACTGCCCTGCTGTATGGCCAACTCGTCGGCGCCTCGGCACCCTCACCATTTCCTGTGCTTTGCTGCCGCCCCGCATGTGTCTTGTAGGCGTGGCGCGCGCGGCGGCCCTCGTGAGTGCAGAGACAGTGACTTGGGCCGGCAGCGCCAGCCAACCATGGGTCGCTGGGGGGTCAGTGCTCCCTGGCCCCTCGCACCTTTCTGCCTGGAGCTACAGACGCAATGCCAGCTTACAGCGACAAACTCAGTTCCGGCCTGCCTGATCGGGCACTATTACATGCTCACTCAGCACCCCCCCGTTCCACAATTGCCCGGCGCAACCACCGCAGCTGGCCCCTTTTGTGGGCGCCGACTGGCGCGACGTGGTGCCCATTGTCAACGCCACGAGCGGGGTCAACGCAGTGGTAAACTCGCTGCAGCTGCAGCGGGGCGACCTGCTGCTGATGGCCAACACGACGTACCCCGCTGTGAGGGGGCGCGCGCTGACGCGTGCTTGCTTTTTTCGCGGGTGTGCGCGCGCCCGCTGTTCGGCCCAGTTGTCAGGCCGTAGTGATCATCCTGCTAGGACTGCTTATTCACGCCAATCGGCAACGCAAAGCGGCGCTCACGGCTCTCTTGTGCGTATGCAACCCTCTGCACGGTGGCGACCGCAGGTCCGCAGCACTCTCGCGCGCGCAGCCGGCCGCGCGGGGGCGTCCCTGGTTGATATCTCATTCACAATGGACGCCCTATTGGATGAGGACGCGATCGTGGCCGCCTACGCAGCCGCAGCCGCAGCCGCCAGGAAAGCTGGCGGGAAGGTGCGGCTGGCGATGATCGACCACTGCGTCAGCTTCCCGCCGGTGGTCATGCCGGTCGCGCGCATCTGCGACGCGCTGAGGTGGGCGGCGGTGGCTGCGGGGCCGGGGCCACCCTGCGTAGACTGATGTGGCGCGGCGAGCGCAAGAGCGGCCGCGGGGAGGGGACGCCTTGGGTCGTCACGCGGGGTTTCCACAAGCGGCAGACCGCGTGAGCTCCTGTTGGGCGGGCTGCTGTCAGTCTACATGCTTCCTGCCTTTTCCTTGCTGGGAAGGGTTTGGGGTTGAGGGTTTAGGTTTCAGGGTCGACAGGCCACCCCCAGCCCCGTGGGTGGCGGCCTGCCCACCCCCAGACACAGGCCTCCCGCACTACCGTGCCTGCCCTGATTCAGCAATCTGGCATCCCCCTTAGACCCACTTGGACCCCGCCCACAGCCGCCCCGATCCAATCCCAAAACCCACCCCCAAACCCACCCCCAGGGCGGAGGGCGTCCCCGTAATGGTGGACGGCGCGCACGCCCTGGGGGCCTTTGCCAGGCTGGACGTGCCGTCGCTGGGCTGCGATTACTACGTCAGCAATGCACACAAGTGGCTGTGAGCGGCGCCGGCCCCGGGGGCACTTGCCTGAACCTGTCATGTGGTCCAGAAACCAGGCAGTGGGTCGGTGGAGACCCGTTGATTGAGTGGAGGCTGCTGCGTGGCATGACGGCTGCCGCGCCAGCACTCGAAGCCCCGGGCTGCGACTGGCAGACGGGCCGCCCTGGACCGGCCGCAGCGCTCCTGCTTTCGCAGCACTTCCACCCCTTTACTCAGTGCTTCAGCCCTCTCCCACCTCTGCCAACACACTCGCACACACATACACACACGCACATGCGCTCACACACACACACACACGCGCGCGCATCCCCCCCACACGCACACACACCCTCATGCACGTTCCTACCCCGCAGCTGCAGCCCCAAGGGCTGCGCGTTCCTGTGGGCTGCTCGCGCCCGCCAGCCGTCCCTCGCGCCCCTGGCCACGTCTCATGGCTACGGCCTCGGCTTCAGGGCCGAATTTCTGTGGGCGGGCACCGCCGACCCGACGGCGTGGCTGTGCGTGCCGGCGTGCCTGGCTGCGCTGGAGCGGCTCGGAGGCCTGGAGGCGGTTGCAGCGCACAACCATGACCTGGTGAGTACTGTATATAATTTTAAGGTGCATGATTGGGACGCGCAGTCAAGATATCACATATGAAGCGGCACGCACGCAAGCTACATGCGCGCGTTACAAGCTATGCAAGCCGGGGGTGGCTGCCAATAGGGATGTTAACCAGCCCACCATTTGAGTTGGCCGCGCGAGATGCCTCCGACGCATCGAGCTTGCCTGTCGGACCTCTCGCCCTCCCCAACCGCGCCCCCTCCCCCACCTGCCCTTCGAAATGTTGCAGGTTCGGCGGGCTGCGGAGCTGCTGCGTACGGCGTGGGGCGTCCAAGACCCCGCGATCGGCGCACGGCGCGACGGCGGCGGGTCCGCGGGGCTCGCGGC